GCCTTACATGCATGTTTTTGGTCTGTGGGAGGAAACCGGAGCACCCGGAGAAAACCCACGCATGCACGGAGAGAACATGTAAACTCCACCCAGAAGGCCCCTGGACCGGGGTTTGAACCAGGGACCTGCTCGCTGAGAGGCAGCAGCTCTACCAGTTGCGCCACCGTGCTGCCCATATGAGATCATATGATATGATATTATACAATATAAAATGATATGATATTATATGATCCAATATGAAATGATATGTGATATGATATGAAATGATTTAATATTATTTATATGATATGAAATTATATATGATTTAAGATGATATTATATGATTTAATATGATATGATACAATACAAAATAATATGATATTATATGATACAATATGAAATGATATAGGATATGATATGATACGATAATTTAATATTATTTATATGATATGATATGATATATGATTTAAGATTATATTATATGATTTTGCTATATGATATGATATTATATGATATGATTTAAGATTATATTATATGATTTAATATGATATAATATGATATGATACAATACGAAATGATATATGATACAATATGAAATTATGTGATATTATATATGATACAATATTAAATGTAATGATTTGATATAATATGAAATGATATATGATACGATATATGATATGATTAAATATGTTATGATATTATATTAAATTATATTATATGATTTAAGATTATATTATATGATGTGATATGATACAATATCAAATGATATGATATGATACAATTTGATTTGATATGATTTAATATGATATATGAACTTAAATGATATGATTTAAGATGATATGATATGATTTAATATGATATAATATGATGTGATATGATTTGATACAATATGAAATATGAAATAATATTATACGATATGATATCTTATGTTGTGATATATTATATAATAATTTATGAAATGATATGATATTATAATGCATGATATGATTTAATATGGTATGTTATGTAGTGATATGATATAATATAATATTTTATGATATGATATGATTTGGTTTGGTTTGATATGAAAAGAAATGATTTGATATGATCAGTGCTACAACATGCTGAATATTCAGATTTTGTTGTTTAAAAAAAAA